CAGACTGAACTTTAATTAGTCCCTCAGGGCCAGGAAGTGAAGCCACATAGTTGCCATTAGGTTTTGCCTCTAATATCTATAGGTTTGGGTAAGTTCCTCAAGTTCTCGAGGTCCCCAAAATGTCTTGAGGTTTTTCCTTGCCATCTCACAGGAAAGCAACCTTCACTCCTTACCTGGAAAGACTGCTATGAATCATGTAAATAAGCAAGGTATCAGGCCATTTCTCCAAGGAGCTTTTATCAGCTTCAAAGTCAGTCTTTATTACTTAAAGCAGTGATAACCAGGGTCTAGGCATGTCTCTCTTAAACATGATATTCCAGTCAAAGTCTTGGTTAATAAAACCACAATTGGAAGAAATCAGATTCCTACTGGATTCATGCAAACAAATATATTGCCATGAAAATAATAATACTCGTTTTTAAATTTGAGAGAGATCAAGTAGGGAGAAAAATATAAATGCTCCAATATTGTTTGAATTTACCAAATCGCTCTAACAAGTTGTTTGTTTGTTTGTTTGTTTGTTTGTTTAATCAGCCCTGACTTGTGCTACTCTGTGGATTGAGCACTGGCCTGTGAACTGAAAGGTCGCCAGTTCAATACCCAGTAAGGGCACATGCCTGGGTTGCAGGCCAGGTCCCCAGTTGAGGGCATGCAATATGTAACCAATCGATGTATCTCTCGCACACTGATGTTTCTCTTCCTCTTTCTCCCTCCCTTCCCCTCTCTCTAAAAATAAACAAAATCTAAGAAAAATTAAATAAAATAGCAATATTTTGAAACAAGTCATAAGAACAATAATTATCCTTGGTTCATTCAGTTCCACAATCAATTCTTGTTTATCCCAATTATCCACCATTATTTCCATGAATCTAGTCATTCCCCAGAGTCCCACAAATCCCCATTTATGTCAAAGGTATGATCTTAAAGTTTATTCTCATAAATTCATGTTTTAGAATAAGCTAGAGTCCTTTCCATGGATCTTTTGAAGATGTAACATTTTTTTCCTTTTTTTTAAAAGACTGTATTCATTTACAGTTAGAGAAAGGGGAGGAGAGGGAGAAAGAGAGAAATATCAATGTGAGAGAGAAACATCGACTGGTTGCCTCTCGCAGACAGCCCACAACCCAGGCACATTCCCTGACCCAGAACTGAACTGGTGACCTTTCACTTCATGGGACAACGCTCAATCAACTGAGCCTCACTGGTGAGGGCAAGATGTAACATTTTGCAAATGCATCAGAGTAAAAAACCACGATCGTGTCTAAACGACAAAAAATATTTAAAACTACATGGTCGTAGGCATGCGAGTCATAATGTAATTGACAAAGGAATTTGCTTTTTTATAACAACATTTTAAGATAACAGTCAGAATTACAAATGAAAGTACATCAGACTAAGAAATCAATTAATTTGTTCCCCACTGTCAATTGTACCTGAGGTTTTAGTAGGGAAATAACAATTGGTTTTGGAAAATCAAATGAAGCTTTCGGCTTTTTTATTTGCCATTGAAATTATGACTTTGCTTCATCATCTATCTATATGCTTTTCTTTTTTCTGTCTTATTTCTTTTTTTAAGTAGATATTTATTTATTTATTTTTAGAGAGAGGAAGGGAGGGAGAAAGAGAGGGAGAGAAACAATGATGTGCGAGAAAAATGCCAATCAGTTGCCTCTCACATGCCCCCAACCAGGGACGTGGCGCACAACCTGGGCATGTGCCCTAATCAGGAATTGAACGGGCAACCTTTCGGTCTGTGGAACAATGCCCAAACTGCTGAGCCACTCCAGTCAGGGCTCTTTCTTATTTCTTTTTTTCCATTTCCATTTCCAATTCTCGAGAATTAGAAGTTCTCCAGTGTCCCCACTGGAGACTTCCCCAGTCTTCCCCAGTGTCCTTGCTTCCTGTAATATGTATATACCTTTCCTTTACCCTCTCTCACCTTTTTTTCGCTTCCTCAATTCTCTCTCTTTTTGCTCCTTCTGACACAACCATTCTGCAACTTGTAGAGCCCTTCTTCGACTTACACAGACCCTCTGCCACTTACACAGTCCTGCAATGTACACAATCTTTCTGTGACTTTCCTAGTCCCTTTTACTTTGCTTCTTCTTAACTCATTCAGAAATAACCAACTTTATGCACTGACTGGTGTAGCTCGGTGGGTAGGGTGTGTCACCACGGGGTCACCAGTTTGATTCCCCCCAAGGGCACATGCCTGGGTTGCATGTCCAGTCCCCAGTTGGGGGCGTGCAAGAGGCAACCAATCAATGTTTCTTTCACACATTCATGTTTCTCTCCCTGTCTTTCTCCCTCCCTATCCTCTCTCTAAAAATAAATAAAATCTTTAAAAAAGATAAATAAACAACTTTAGAACAACCGACTTTCAGTTTTATTTCCTTCAAAAAATATTGCCATGACTTTTACCTTTTACTACCAAAACCATATATTCTTTCCCAACTTAACTAGAATTTTCAATTTTTAGTGACAACTAAAAGTAATTAGCATTCTTTAGATTGACAAATTTAGGAATACATTTTATAATATCAGAAACAGTTTTGCCCCACTGCCAAATGCACTTACATTTTAAGAGGCGTAATAGAGATAACATGAACTTTTTTGTAAATCCAGGAAAAAAACAAATATATTTTATGTCAATAACTTTAAAAGACATCAATTAAACTTAAATTACCCATTTGGATTCTTGGTAATTACTGCATTCCTTTCGTGTGCTCAAAAGTGTGCTGTTTCATTATCTAGTAACCTTGACAACTTTTTGAAGACTGAAGAAGAGGTGGGGGAGATATCAGGCTTGGCGCAGCTTGAATTTTTTCTTTTAATGCCAGTTTTTTTCCTTTACATTGAGGTGGGGCAGTCGCCCCTACTGTTCCCACAGCCTGAACAGGGTTTGGGGGGTGGCATTAATTTCCCCATTATTCCTGGGACTGCTGCAGCTTCAGGGTTCCAGGGGAAGGATTTAGGGTGTTCAAAAGACTCATTGCCTGCCGTGACCAGTGGCTCAGTTGGCTGGAGCATTGTCCTGTACACCAAAGGGTCTCTGGTTCAATTCCTGGTCAGGGTATATGCCTGGGTTGTGGGTTTGGTCCCAGGTCAGAGCGTGTATAGGAAGCAGCTGATCAACGTTCCTCTCTGACATCAATATTTCTTTCCCTCTCTCCCTCCCTTCCCCTGTATTTAAAACAACTAAATAAAATCTTAAAACACACACACACACACACGACTCATTATCTCATTTTTTTTCTCTCTCTGGGTTTTACTGTCTGGAAGGGGAGTCCAATCTTTTCCCCCTCTTTGAACCATAAATTTAAATCCTTTCTGAGCAGAATCCTTATAATGTAACAATACGAAATCTTGCATGTAAGAGATCTCATCCTATCTGCCAGACCTTTGACAAAACAATTTTAGTCTAAAATGTGACCTAATGGACTTGCTGATGGGCTTGAGATGGAGCCTGCCTGCCTGCCTGCCTTCCTTCCTTCCTTCCTCTCTCCCTCTAAGATTTTATTTATTTTATTTTTAGAGAGAGGGGAAAGGAGGGAGAAAGACGGGGAGGGAAACATCAATGTGCAAGAGAGACATCGATCAATAGGTTGCCTCTCACATGCCCCAGCTGGGGACCTGGCCTGCAACACAGGTGTGTGCCCTGACTGGGAACCCAACTGCTGACATTTTGTTTCACAGGCCAGGGCTCAATCCACTGAACCACACCAGCCAGGGCCTCAGCTGCTCTTTCAAAATAGAAGCAAAAACAAAATCTAAAGCAAAGACAAAGTTGAAACAAGTACTCTCAAACTAAATCCTCTAAAAGGAGGGACTGAGACTAGCCTTAGAATCTTATCTCACACCAACTGATACCTCGAATGACCTTGACAAGGTCCAAATGGCACAAAGTCCAAACGGAGGAGACAGAGGATTCCCGGTGTGTACAAAATAGCAAAGATCAAACCAAGTCCCCAATAGATAAGGAAGCAAGCAAAGAACAACTGTAATCAAAGTTTTCATTTCAGACAGACAAGAGCTCTCAAACAGAAACTGATTTCCTCTCATGAGGAACAGAGAAACAAAACTAAAAGACAATTAATAAGCAGTATGCTGCCAAGATATGGAAGCAGCCCAAGTGTCCATCAGCAGATGAGTGGATAAAATAACTATGGGACATTTACACAATGGAATACTACTCGGCCATAAAAAAGAAAAATTTATCCTTTGCAACAGCATGGATATACCTAGAGAACATTATGTTAAGTGAAATAAGCCAATCAGAGAGACATGTACCATGTGATTTCACTCACATGTGGAATCTAATGAACAAACTGAACTAACAGGCAAAATAGAAACAGACTCATGGAGAGAGAGCAGGATGACAGCTATGGGGGGCAGTTAGAGGAGGGAGGGACTGAGTAAAAAGGGAAAAGGACTCATGGATATGGACAACAGGGTGGTGATTGTGGGGGGAGGCAGTATAAAGAGAATAAATACTTTTAACCATTCAAAAGATAAAAAAAATAAAAAGCACAAACAACAAACATAAGAGCAGTATGCAAAAAGAAAGGCAAACAATATCCAAAAGCCGTATACCAGAACCAAAAGAGCACTCCGACCAAATCCCACACTGGGGAACTGGGATTTTTCTTGCCACTGGGCCATGCCCAGCACTGAGCAGTGCCTATTAATTCCTACAGACTCCCAAGTGGTGGGGTAGGGGCTCCTGAGTACGCAAACCAGGGACTTACCTAGTGTGGAGTCTGTCGACCCCCCAGATTGGAGCCCGTTGACTCCCCAGATACCCACTTCCTTTCACCGGCAAAACAATTCAAGGTAGCTGATGCCTTGAGCAGGACAGCAGGGAGAATCCCAGGAGCTGGGATGCCTGAAGGTCAAAGTTTGTATCTTTTGAAGTTAGTTTCTAGAATTCTTATATAAACATGCTGTTTATCTTAAAGCTACATATTAGAGTCAGCACTTACAGAAACAATGCCCCCCAAATGCCAGTGGGTTACAACTTCCACTGTTACACAGACTCCCCTGATACCAGCAGTGCCACCGAGAGTCTCCTTGTAGCCTTGCCGGCGGGGGGCCTGCCCACTGGCTTCATGGGCCCCTTCTCCTCGCTGGCTTCCCACACTTCCCACTTACCCTTGCTGGAGCTGCTCATCTGTTAATGCCCCTTGCACCTCCCCATTGCCTCACTACTTAAACCATGTGGTGACTCACTGTTGGAACCTCTCGATGTCCAGGGCTGGGCCTGCCTCCATGCTGTCTTTACTGTCTTCAGCACTGAATGTGCCTATAGTGCAGTTCAAGTGATGCCTGTTGGCAATGCTGCCATTGTCCCAAAGGTTCTTCCACCATCTGCTCTGCTCTCCTTGCCGTTTGTCTCAAGAGCCAAGTCTCAGTCACTAAGACTGGTGTGGCCTGTTGAACAGCACTGTTGGACTAATCATCATTGTGGGACCTGGACTAGGGACACTACAGAAGGGGACCAGGGGCCTCTACACCCTCCTGGGCTATGTGCTGACCTTCCTGAGCAGCCTGGCACTGTCGTGCTTGGCTTCTGGTGTATCTTTCCTTGGACTTCCCCTCCTGCCTACAAACAGTGGCCTTCCTGTTTGGCTTGGTGGGGCTGGTGGGCTCTGTACCAGGCCCCTTTCTGCTGCAGACCCCCACGCTGCTCCACGATCCTCGGAGTTGGAGCTGTGTGGGGGCAGTGGTGATCGTGCTCTGGTCTCTTTTGTGTGAGTTATGTGGTCACCAAGGCCCACCTAGCTCTGGTGTGTGTAATCCTGCACTCTGAGGTGGTGGTGGCCCTCACGCTGCAGAATTCTGTGCTTCCTGAGACTGTGGCACCTTGTGACATTATTGGGGCAGTGGTTGCGTTGGGCAACATTGCCATCATAACCACCCACAACCTCAGCTATGAAAGGGCAGGGCAGGTGGAGGAGTGAGATTGACTTGAGAGGCAGGGTTTGGGGGTGCAAGGATAAATAGACACTGGAATAAAAACATGGGAGAGCAAGTAATTTGAAGAGAACTGGTGTGGGAGAGCGATGCCCCTTGGAGTCAAGGGTAATGTGGGGACTTGGTAGAAAGGGACTGCCTAGAAGATCTGGAAGAAGTATGGGGACCAAGTGCTGTGGAGTCTAGGCTGCAGCGAGAGAATCAGGGCATAACTAAAGGGTAAGGTCTGAGGAGCAGATAAAAGGGGCTGAGGCAGCCAGGCCATGAGCCGTGGGAAGATATTTTTTCCTCAGCAACAAGGAAAAGAGCTTTGGGGCTGGAATGTTTGGGGATTTCAGGCAAGCTGTTGCTGTGGGGGAAGGGAGACTGTCTTTTTTCCCTGAATGAGGTTTCCCTTCCTGGTGGCTGTGCCTCCCCCACAACTTAGGGTGGTGACGTGACATTGACGTCAAACAAGGATCACTCTAAATGTGGCTGTGTTGTTTGTGTTCATTTCTGCTTTGGAAAGATATTGGAAGTCCACCCCCACCCCCGACCCAATCTATTTTCTGAAATATTCTAGAAGGAGGATTCCCTAAAGTTCAGATGCCTTGAACCTGAAGTCCCCAGGGCCTGTGTCCCGCCCCATGGTTAATCTGCTTTTCCTGGATTGTCACGGTCCCGTGATCTCTCTCCCAGACAGCTGCCATCCTCCTTCCGGAGCAGGCCTCTGAACTGAAGTCTCTTTTTGCGGGTCAGGCCGGGGGATCCAGGACCAGAGCTCCGCACTGGGATACATTAGAGGCCAGGAGATGCCCACCAGTCCCAGGAGGCCTCTCGACAAATACCTACTTCCGGACAAGTAATCGGCCTCGCCATCTTGATTTATTCATGTATATTCAGCGAGGTTATTGCATATTCATGACCAAGGACGGACCCACTACTGCCCCTTGGGAACCCACTTGGGAGGACCTGACTCGCCCCGCCTTCTTCATTACTTATTCTCAGAGCAGACCATTTTGCGGGGGAGAGGGGGAGAGAATAGTAATGACAAACTTTTCCTGACGATGAAAACACACTCCAAACTAGAGTGGGAGCGGCCTATATTTACCCTCGATCCTCCAAACCTTAAACCTCAGTGCGGGAGTGAGCAGCTTGGGGAGGTGGCGGGATAAAATTTCCCCTCCCCTCTGTCATTTCAAAAGGTCGCTCAACCGGAGAATCGGGAAGGGAGGAGCGACGACTCGAGCGCGCGTCCCGTGCAGGCCGGCGCAAGCAACCCCGTAGCGCAAGGGAGGGCGGGAAAGGAAGGGGCGGAGCTGCAGGGGCGAATCTATAAAAGGCGTCATTCGGTCAGTTCGCTTCTCAGAAGCGCCGAGAGCGCGGCCGGGACGGTTGGAGAAGAAGGTGGCTCCCGGAAGGGGGAGAGACAAACTGCCGTAACCTCTGCCGTTCAGGATCCCGGTTAATTATTTATTCGTTACCCCTTTTCTTCTCCCCCCTCCCAAACCTTTTCCTTCCCCCTCCTCTTTTTTTTCTTTTTTGAGAGACGAAAAATCTCCGGAAAGGGGGAGGAAAATTCCTTTCGCTCCTTTTTATTTCCCCGCCTCCTTCCCTCCCCCACCTTTCCTTCCTCCGGCTTTTTCCTCCCAACTTAGGGAAGGTCCTTCCCGGTGGCCGCCCCGACGGGGTCTGAGCACTTAGGCGGAGGCGGCGCAGGCTTTTTGTACTGAGGTTTGCGCCTGCGCAGGGCGCCTGCCTCCGCGATGCACGGGGGTGGCCCCCCCTCCGGGGACAGCGCATGCCCGCTGCGCACCATCAAGAGAGTGCAGTTCGGAATTCTCAGTCCGGATGAACTGGTAAGCGGCTCTGCCCTCGCAGTCTCCCTCTCGCGCAGTGCGCGAGGCTTGACGTTGGCTGCGGAAACTTGGTGCTTCTCGCTGGTTTTGGTGACAGGCAGTGAGGATAGGCCCGCAGCGCCAAGGTAATGCGGGGTCCAGCCTCGCGGCTTCCCAGAGTTAAATTTTGCAAGGGTGTGAACCTGGCCGCAGGTGAGGCTGGAGGGCGAGAAGGGAGAGAGAAGGGTGCCTGGCATCACACTGCAGAGATACCGACATTAAACGAAATCAGACAAATTCTGGGGGCCTTTTGCAAGTTTAGATAAGAAGCTGACCTTCAGATTTTTTTTCTCTACTCTGTCTATAAATATTAATTGAGCACCTGCTATGTGATAGACACAACAGACTCTGGAAAAAACAGTTGAACAAGGCCAAGGACCCTGCCTTTTAGAGCACTTTCTATGGAAGCGGGCAGGGGAGACGCACAAAAAACATACAAATAAATGAACAAACAAGATAATTTAGTCAGTGGCAAGTGCCTTGAATAAAGGGAAACTGTAGTACGATGAAGAGCCACTGAAGTGAGGCTGCTTTAGATGAGGTGATGTTAGGGTCTGGGAAGAGGTGTCGGAGGAGATGGCATTACCTAAACGATGAGGAGCAGCTAGTCATGTAGGTCTGAGGAGCGAATGAACTTGGTGTGCCCCAGGGGCTGAGAGAAGGCTAGTGTGGCTGGGATTCAGTGGGTGAGAAGGGGATATTATCCAAATGGACTAGAGAAGCATGAGGTGGGGCAGGCCAGTTGGGATATTGTAAAAAATGCAAAGGATCTGGATTTAATTTTATTTCACTAGGAAGCTATTGGAAAATCATAAGCAGGAGAGTGACATCAATTTTGCATTAAAAAGAAAAAAAAACAAACAAACTGAAGAACCAATTGGGGGCACTCTAAGCATGGAAGCAGGAGAGACCAGTGGGGAAGATAGTTCTAGAGGAGAGCTGTTGGTGACTTGGACTTCTTGTGTGGAGTGAACTGGAGGGAGCCAGTTGGCTGGAGAGAATGGAGTTTAATGGCTATGTTTGTGGATGGAGACAATTTTTCTGGAGGAGAAGACAGCTCTGTGGAATTTGTGCTTGGAGGTAGAACCTCCTGAATTTACATCATGCCACAGAATAAATTCCAGGTAGAGTTAAGGTTTAAATCTAAAAACAAAACTACAAAGCACTAAAAAATATAGAAGGCTTTTGGGGGCTGATACCAGGGATAGAAAAACCCTTAATAATAATGAATTAATTATAGGTACATTTTATTGAGTGTCTATGTAAAAATAAGAGCCACTCCTCTTTATCAGAGACTCCATGGATCACTAAAAAACAGATATTTCCAATGTGACAGACAAGATTAAAATTCTTAATATACAAGGAACACATCTATTCTACTAGACAAATGGGTAAAAGATATGAATAGGCAGTTCACAAAAGTAGTGCAAATGACCAATAAACATTCAGTGTACTGCCCTGGCCGGGTGTCTCAGTTGGTTTGATCATTGTCCAGTACACCAAAAGGTTGAGGCTTTGATTTTCAAGTCAGGGCACATACCTAGGTTGCAGGTTTTATCCCCAGTCAGGGTTTGAAGGGGAGGCAATCAATCAATGTGTGTCTCTCTAAAATCAGTAAACGTAACCTCAGATGAGGATTAAGAAAAATAATAAAATATTCAGTTTACTAATAAAAACATGCAAATTAAAATTAAAATTTTTTCCTTATGGCAAAAATACTGGGATATAAGCCCTGGCTGGGTAGTTTAGTTGGTTAAAGTGTTATCCCCTTACACCACAGTTGCAAGTTTGATCCCTGGACAGGGCACATACAAAAATCAACCAACAAATGTATGAATAAATGGAAAAACAAATTGATACTCCCCTCCCCCTCCTTTTCTAAAAATCAATGAATAAAGTAAAAAACTATGTACTGGAATATAGTCCTGGCAGGTGTGGCTCAGCAGACTGAGCACTGGCCGGCAAACCAAGGGGGCGCAGGTTTTATTCCCAGTCTGGGCACATGCCTGGGCTGTGGGCCAGGTCCCCAGTTGGGGGCGTGCAAGGGGCAGCCAGTCAATGTCTCTCTTGCACATTGATGTTTCTCTCCCTCTCTCCCCCTCTCTGTAAAAAATAAATAAAATGTTTAAAAAATATATTGGGATATAGGCATGCTTATACTCTTTTAGTAAGAGGGTAAATTGATACGACCTTTTTAGAGGACAGTGACAATTTTATGACTAATGCACATATTCATCTTCAAAAAACTCATAATTTCTTCCCTTGAACATACCCCTCCTCCGGTCTTGCCTTCAGCAGACAGGCAGTGGCTCCACTATTCATTCAGTTGCTCAGGCCAAAAACCCAAAAACCGTCTTTGATTCTTCTCTTTCTTACAACCCTTACTCAGTCTATCTGCATCTGTCAGTTCTGCCTTTCAAAATATGTCTGGAATCCAGCCATTTATGACTGTTTCGACCACCATGGTACACCCCACCATCCTCTTTCCCATAGAGTATTGCAGTAGCCTTAGCCCCAGTTCTTCCTACATTTTGCAGAGCAGCTAGAGAGATCTTTTCATCATGTTTCTCCTTCATGGAATCCTCTTCAAAGGATCCAACCCCCTTACTGTGACCTAAGAAGTCCTGTATTTGGCTCCTGCTTAAGCGCTTCACCATCTCATTACCAATCTTCTTTTTGCTCTTCTTTAACCACATCGATCTGCTTGTTCTTTGAACACTACAAACTCATTACTCCCTCAAGGATTTTATTATTCATTGTTCCTGGTGTCCAGAATGGCATTGCCCAGACTTACTTGGGTTTGCTTTTTTACGTCATTAGTATGTTCTCTGATCAGGTGTCACAAAAAGGGAGCTGTTCCCTGACCACCCTATTTAAATGACATCCCCCTGCATTCTCTAACCTCTAGTCTTGACTTTGTTTACTTCATAGCCTGTGACTGTCTGAGAGGATGAGTTTTTGCTCCCTTAATAGAATGTAAATTTCATAACAGACTTTGTATTCACTCTCAACATCTCAAAGAGTGCCTGGCACATAATAGGCATGTAATTAAGTTTGTGAAATAAATGTGTGAATGAAATAATTGGACAAGTACACACAGATACATGTAGAAGTATTTTATTGCAACGTTGCTTGAAAATGGCATTCAAACAATGACATTTTAGGCTATATAAATTGCTTAAATATTAACTTACTAATAGGAATCCTACTGAAAAACCTCAAGGTCTATTCTTAAAAATATAACAAGACCTCCCCAGGAGGTTAAATCCCAAACTGCTGAGGTAGTGCAGCAAACTCACAGGGGCCCAGTGAGATTTTAAATTTCCAGGAAGCGCAGAAGCATAGCCTGGGAACTACTAGTTCCAGGTAGTTCCTTTCAACATTAGATGGCACCAAATCCCC